TCTAATTTCAAATGCCATAATAAGTGTGATATTGTAAACAACAACACGGCTAAAACATTCAACTCATTTGTATTACTTGCAAGATATGGACCTATAGTGCCTATGTTAGAGGATATTAGATTATCTATAATAGATAGAATGCAAGAGAAAAAGAAATTATTCATAAATTTATGGGGGTGTTGCACCTAGAATTCATAAGAAGTTTAAGAAAGCATATGAGGAGCAAGTTCATTGTCGTGCATAATGGAATTGAGATAAAAATGAAACTAGTTTTGAGATAATTTATAGAGGGCAAAGTCATGCAATAGATTTGAGAAATATGACATGTACATGTAGGATTTGGGACTTGAATGGAATTCCATGCACACATGCAGTTAGTGCTACCTTGCTTATGAGAAGGAAACCTGAGATATACTTATCAAATATGTATTATCAAGAAAACTATTTGATTACTTATGGAGGAATGTTGAATCCATTACAAAGGAGTAATTGTTAGGATAAAGAGGGAGAGGTAATGATGTTACCCAAAATATTGTTAGGAGGCCTCTTGAGAGACCCAAAACTTCTAGGAGGAGAGACTCTTCTAAAGGATTCAAGCATCCTTTCAGGTCATCAAGATAGGGTTTGACACGGAAGTGTAGTAATTATCATAGAACAGGGCATAGAAGACTCAATTATCCTGATGCATCAATACCTCCTCCAAGGCCAACACATATATACATGTTTCATATTTATCATTTTGTTAAATGCATATTGTGTAAAACTTCATTTTTGTATAATATTGAGTTTTTGGCTTATAGACTTAACAATAATAGTTTGTATCTTTTATCAAGTCTATAAATTAGTTTATAAAGTTTTCAAAACATGGTTTAGTCAAAATGACAAAACAAGTATTGTTGTATTTTCATGTTTTGGACTTGTTTTGAAAAATGATGAGTTTTCACAAATGTGAAGTGCAATTACAAAAATTCTTTTGTAACATGTTCATTAACATGTTTATAATCATTTTCCAAAATTTTATATTTTTTGGAAATTATTTGCTATTTTTAAAGGCACTTCAAAAATTAGTGTTACTATTCAAATCAGGCTGATACAGTGTCATCAGTCGACTGATGAATGTGTTCAGTCGACTGAAGAAAAAACCTGTAATAACAAAAAGTTTATGTTTTGTTTTGGTAGACTGACCAGTCGGCTGATGAGCTCATCAGTCGACTGATAAGGTCCGTCAGTCGACTGATGAGCTAGAAAATACCTCTAACGGTCAGCTCATCAGTCGACTGATAAAAGCTGTCAGTCGACTGATGCTGTAACGGCTAGTTTTTTCTAGGCTTGTCATGTTTTAGGTTTTTGGTCTTTTTGCCTTGTTTTTCTTATGTTTTGGGGTCTCTATAAATACCCCTCATACCTCAGACCAAAAATGACCCAAGAAAAGTTTTAAACAAGTTTTAAAGGATGTTTAAGTTTTGTTTAAGTTTGTTTCAAGAGTTTGTTTGTGAAGAAATTTTCACAAGAGCAAGTGGAGATCATCTATTGGTGTTTGAGCATTCAACTCTTCTCCCTCTCTCTTGTTATTTATAGAAAAATTTTCTAAACTCAATCTAGCTATTTTATATGTTTGATTTTTATTTCCATAAGCTAGAATCTATATTGAGTTTAGTTTGATTTTATTTTATTAAATCTCATTGTTACACACACCTACTTCAGCTTATAGTATTTCATACATAGTATAATTGGGGTTGTGAGAGATTGTAACTTTGATTTGTACTTAATTAAGTTCTCACCTTGTTTAGAGAACAATCATTTGATTTGTGAGCTATTATTATGAGGTTCACTTTATAATACACTAGTACACCAAGAGGAGTGTGTGGTGAGAGATGGGATCGTCCCAAGAGGAGTGGGGTAGATAGTAATGCATAGAGAGAGGTTGTAATTCCTAATACTTGAGGGAGACATGGGCTAGAGACCAACACTTGAGGTGGTAGTTAGTATAGTTACATTGTGAGTGATTATGAACGTTGATCGGTGAGCGTTGAAAACCGACATTGTGAGGTTTAAACATTTTTTGGGTAAGCGTAGAAAACTCGGTGTGATAGTGGAAATCTCCTCGAGGTGAGGAGCAGAGACGTAGGTCGTGGGGACCGAACTCCGTGAACATATCATTTGTTTGTGATTGTATTAGCGCACTTATTTTTATGTCCATATCTTTTATCGCCTTTGTATATTACTTGTTGTTTATATTGCCCATTATCTAGTTTAGATTGTTTACCCTTGTGTTACTTGTATATCCTTACACATATATTTATAGTATATCATTCTTGCTTTGATATATTTGTTAATAATTTTTTATTTGGCATAAATCAGATTAGATTAACATAAACCCTATTCACCCCTCTAGGGTTCCTTCCTAGTGGCATTAGGGTGCTTTCATACTTGAAGCTCAATCCCAATCTGCTAGAGGAAGGAGTGATAGATGATGGGGTCGAGACAAAGAAAGAAATAATCAAGTTATTATGCTAGAGGGTTTTAGCCTATGGCAAGTGATCATTGTGAAATAGCTTATAGAGATCCAAGTGCCTCTCAAACAACAATCACACAAGATTCAACTCCAACTTCAACCCAAGATGTACACCAAGAGGAGCATACACAAGCTTCATATGCACCTAATAGTGGGTTGTAACTATATGTATTTATAGTTGAGATTTTGGTAATATATAGACTTTATGTAGTTGAATGACTTTTTACTTGTTGGTGGTGACTATAAAAATGACAAATACATACTCTTGTGCAATGTGACTATGTGCAAATAGTTAAATTGATGGTGATCATGAAAATCTGGTTATGTTCATTTGTAATGTGTGTTTGTACATAGCTTGTGGATAATATGTTGATTGTTTAATGTGAACATGAGCTTCAAAGCATAAACTTAAGTTTGTGAGTATGCTTTGTCACAGGAAAACTATATTGTGCAAGTTTACTTGCCAAGAAAATTAATGAAAAGAGGGTATACTGTGCCAAAATTTTCTTAGATATGAATAGTGACAGAACTTCATGCTCAATGCTTCTTATCAATTAATTCAATAATTCATACAATTTGCTTTTAAACATCACATTTCCACATCCATAAAAAGGAAAAAAAATACACAATAAAAACTATTACAACCAAAAGTGATATCAAAGTTCCTCTCTTGAACAACATCATCTTTCTCTTCTCAAATTGAAGCAATAAACCCTCTAATATGAATCTCATTATCACTCAATTTTGATATTTCTTCCATATAGCAAGCGTTCTCATCACATAACACCTAGAGCTACTCTCTCAAGTTGACATTTTCAACATGGTAAACCTTCAACTCAACCTCACTTCTTTGAATCAGATTATCCCTCAACTTCAACTCACTCCTCAAGTTAAGTATTTCATCTTGTAGAATACGAAATACAGTAAAAGACACATTTCACATAGGTTTATCAAACCATTCCCACATTCCATAGCCACCATTGGGATTTTGACATGTATAAAACCTTCTCCCAGGGTTTTCATTTGTTAACAATGTATAATACCAACAATGCATTCCACACTTGCAAAATTTCATGCCAATCATCCATGCTTCTTCATTTCACCTTCTATTACTTGCCAAAACATTCAAACCATGACTGATACTTACCTGTGATTCTAATTTTCCACTGATCCTGCTTGCTTCTGAACGAGAGCTTGAACTTGATGACGACATAATCTCTTTGCTTCCGCACTCAATTTCAAGGATAATAACCTAAGTTCTCATATGGTACAACTTGTTCTTGCTTATTCTTATCAATTTCAGCTTGAATCCCCCAATTTGAAAAACCCTACTTTCAAATTTCACCCAATTTGGCCCCTTTTTTATTCTAAAAACCTAATTAAATCCTCCCAACCGTTTTCTCCATGTTAGAGAGTCACTGTCTCATCAGCAATAAAAAATATTTTAAGTCATCACGTGCCACGCACGTGCCACACTCTCAACGAAAATTTGGCTAGCGATGAGAAATTTTGCCTTGTTGGTTATTTGAATCAATTAAAATGTCTTAAAGTAGGTTTGCCTAATTAAAATACCTTATTAGTAATTGAGTGGAATTAAAATACCAATATGGGTATTTAGACTTTTCAAATTTACTCCCTAAATTTAGATGTATGATGTTGGGTTAAAGTATTTCAACTATAACAGTAATCAATATTTTTGAGATATTCCTAATATTTTTGTTGGTTGTGTATCCAAGATTTTTGGGATCTACTGTTCAAAAACTAAATGACGGTGAGTTTGAGGGGTTATTTTAACTCAATGTG